TGCATTACAAATGCATCTGAAAGATACAGTATTCCTAGAAGTAATATACAGTAAGATACAGTATTCCTAGAAGTAATATACAGTATATTAATTTATTCATTCCATTTTAGTTGCAAGCGTCATGGTCAGTCAGTCTAACTTCTGCCCCAATGGAATCCACCCCATGTAAGAAGTCCAGTGTTTGCCACAGAACTGGATCTCATTCTCTAGGAAAGTATCTCATCCTGAATGTAAATATTTCTAACAGGCAAATAATTTTTCATAAAATGTTCCAATAATTAATATTTCAAGAACTAAAATCTGTTCTTTGTGTCTGAAACTATGGAGCTTCAACATTATTTAATCTTTGGATACTTTTACTAGAAAGAGGTGCTCACTGTTACCAGTTTTTCACTCTGAATTTAAAGTAGTTTGTAATCAGGTTGTTCCTTAATTTTTTCTTTGATAAAAGAAACAGGAAAAGGACCTAGACTTTTTCATATACCAGTCCTTTCAACATTCTAATGGCTCTTCTCTAAACCTGTTTCAAATTTTAACATCACTCTTGAAATGTGAATACAGGAGGCAGAACCTTGTTTTAGCATCAAACAAGACTGCTAAGCAGACAAGTAAGATAATGAAATGTGAATACAGGAGGCAAAACCTTGTTTTAGCATCAAACAAGACTGCTAAGCAGACAAGTAAGATAATTTGAGAACCCAAATGTATTCTTTAGGCACAACTCTGTCTTTTGGGCTCAACCCTGGTTCACTAAATCCCAACACTTTTTCAGACTACTTTCTATAGTAAGACTTCAAGCACCTTCTCATAAGCATGTGACTTCCTTAGATCCAGCAACAGCAATACCTATACATTATTCAGCATTTCCTTTGGATTGTAAACATATTGCAAAGAACTAAGATACTTTTAACTCACCATTACATATTAAGTTGGACTTACAAGATTTTTTTCCATAAACCTATATAGATTGGCATTTCTACTAATCCCCTTTAATAAAAGTCTTCCACCACTTATTTCATTATTCCCAATGGGATCGCTGTCATGTTGACAACTCTGTCATTATCTAGACCAACCCCAATTTACTGTTATAGTATTCCAGAATTTCCAAATCACCTCAAATCTTTTTTAAAACTGAAAACAGATGATTAGGGCAGTGGATCACACAGGTCCTAGAAAAATTAAATTAAAGCTATCAGACTGCTTAACTTAGGTAGGATTTAGCAGGTTTAACACATTGAACAGTTGTTGATGGAACAGAGTTACAGTCATTACTTACAGACAAATAGGTTTCCCAGCACAAATGTGTTTTAAGCAGACCAGAAATATTTAAATTGCTCTACCCTTTTTTCTGTCCCCTGTAACTATTAAAAGCTCTGACTTGTAATAGATCAATACCAATTTTCTAACGATCTTTTTCTTACCACATTTTAAAATGTCATCTTACTGTTATCAATGAAGCTACTGAATTGCAGTTACTTTTTTTAATTTTAGCCAGGCATTATGGCTCCTAGCATCTGGTTACATCCACGGTTTTCTCATTCATTTTAAACTTGGACTTTTCTGGGTTTTTTTAAATTCTCTTCTAGGTAAAGTCAACATTGCCTTCACTTTTATTATAGCTTTTGGAAAACCTAAGAAGTTGTTCTGAAACACTTTCAAGTTATAATTTATACTTTTTCATTCAAATATTTTCTCCCTTTCAATGCAGTTCACATTTGCTGTCTCTTAAAATGACAAGTACAGTGGACCGAACTTGTATACACAAATACAGGCGCAACCATTGGATGATAAACAAACACTAATTTCTAATTATGTAAACAATTTCTCTCTCAAGATGGCATATAATAAATAATTTCCTTATTTGAGGTTCAACAATATTTTAGTTGAAGGGCCTGGTTTTCTAAAATTTTCAGAGACTTTGAGAAAGTTGTTATGGTACGGAAGCATGAAACTTCTAGGATGTGCCATTCACAGTTCCCCAAGTTTAGGAGGTTTTTGTTCTTACATATAACAGATATCCAGTAAAAAGCAGAATGATCCTATTCCCTCTGATGGGTATTCTGCGGAAGACATGCAGGAGATATGCCTGTTATTCATTATGCGTTAAAGCACTGATCATTGACCTCCTAGCAATAATACAAAAGCTATAGAACTATGTACACCTACATGTATCAAAGCATCCATCTGATAGCAAACAGTGTATTTAAGGCTGTAAAATGACTTCTGCTTTCTACATTTAAAAACTAAGCCATTTCATGTAAAATTTGTTTAAGCCCAGTCTTGCTTTGCAGACTCTATTCCTTAGACTTTTGCTGTTGGTTATAATGGAAAAAGAATCAGTACTGTGTGTCCATATACAGTCTATTGACTTCAGTTTCCATTATTTCAGAGTAGTTTTCTCATCAAAAAGAATTTAAAAAAAATGAGGACAAAACCAATGGAAACTGAGGATATTTTAAAAAACATTCACAGGGACTACAGAAAGTAGGCATTATCTCTGCAGTTCCTTGTTGGTCAGTGAAGGTCACAAGACCGTGATTTTTAAGATTGCTTCAGCAGAAATTCTTTGAAGCTACAGCACATTTAACATTACATTTTTCTTCACAAAAATATTCTAATTACAAAGGCTTGGGAATGGATGCAAACCATTTAACAATGCAAATTTTCAAACAAAATAAAAACTCTAATTAATGCCAGAAGCTTAATTTTGACTCATCCGTGAGTAAGTTGTTGCTAACGAATAACTCACAGAACATTAGCACCTGGCAAGTACTGGTTCTGAAAATAATAGTATGCTCCCTTAGCTCTAAAAAAAGTAAAAAAAAAATAAAAAAAAATATTAAAATAACAGAGCAGCTCTATATTTTATATGAATCTTTGAGGCATCACATTTCACACTGTCAACTGACTTGTATCATGCACAGCAGAGTTGTTGGATTTCTGAGGAAGCTCCATCTCAGTAAGGAGACCACAGACACACCAGATAACAAAGAATGTATGTTCATCTGCTATTTGAGGTAGCACCTTTACTACAAGTTGGTAAAATTGCTGAAGAGAAGTTTTTAATAGTTCTGTTTGTGCTGTGCTAAAATATGTTCTTAAATAAGCAAAATATTTCATGCTTCCTCCTGCCAAAGATCTGAGAAAAGTTAACTTTGTACTGCATTGTCAAAAATTACCTTCTGTTGATTGTTTCTGAACCAAGTTCATTTCAGAAAGCACGCACGATGGAGAGTATAGTGGGTATGCACCCACTCTTCATACATGTTAGAGCCTTGTAAAGAACCAAGATTTAAATAAAAAAGAGCTGCTTAACTCATGTTGGTGATGATCAGTTTTTCTGAAATCAGAAGGAATTTTCTCACATTCAGCATTGATAACCATCTTATCCCACGTCAAAGCTACCAATAAATATTACCAGAAACACACGCAACTGTTTAACTGATTTTTTTCCACAACAAAATAAAAATTATTCTTTTTACTCCACACCATCACGAAAGACCTCTGAAACTTTTATATAAGACAGCTTATATAAAAAGCAGTAGCAGCCCACAAAATGCATACTCAAGTATGTTGAAATACACTAAAACAAAAAAGTAACAAAAAAATATTGATTTCAGATATTTATTTATTACAAAATTTAAAACAAATCATGTTAATCACTGAAGTGTACTGTGAAGCTGGAAAAGGCCATTCTGCTACATTCAAATATATTTCTTGTATTATTTTAAATGCACCGTAGTGTATTATAATACTAAATCTGGTTTTCATATAACACCATAGTGCTGTATACAGAATATAAAATTGTGTATTACCGTTAAAAAACATTTTAAATTACATCATAATAATTAGATATACTAGGTCTTCATTTTTTTGCCTTTTATTTTCCAGCTACTGGTTTCAGAAAATTACCATTAGTTTTCTTCTTCTCTTCATGAAGAGCATAGAGTAATTTGCAAAATCAAGAAAGGCTGAAAATGTGATTGAAATATAGGATTTTTTCCCTAATGAAATATTATTATTGCATTATAAATTATTGACAGAACATTTCTGAAACTCTTTCCTGATGTGCTCATCCTTTTTATGGAAAATACCTATAAGAGATGCAGCTAGCCTGAGGGGATGATGTTTGGCTTCAGATGCATGTTTTCCAGCAGCACCATTAAAATGTAGTCTATATAATGGATCTTTAAGGCCCGTTCCATAGGCCATACCCATGAAAACACTGCATTGAGCTCAAGAATTGCCTAAGAGAAACACAACTTACCCCTTTGCCTTAGATGCTTTTATGGTACTACAGAGGTTTTACATATTTACATTGAACAGACACTTGGAAAGAATTACCATGCCACCATCACATCTTGTACCTTAGCAATGTCACACTTGCACCATCTTCACAGCGCATCATAGAAAAACATTACTGTGAATTACTGTTTAATGTGAAGCACTAACACTTCATTTAACACTAAGAGTTTTTCTTTCAACTGAAATCAATGACCAGGTGTGCTAATTTCTATCAGGCTAAAACAAGTAAACAAAGTCCTTGAAAATGTCATGAAATACCATGCCTGTATGTTAAGCTCAACATTTTGCTAAATGTAGGCACAAATTTTGAGAAAAGACACAGGCGTTTGGTTGGTGTTCTGGCTTCAGAAAACAGCAGAAAAGCTTTTCCCTTAATACAACCATGGAACTGAGAACTTACTGATAAATTTCAATCCTAAAATTTTAAGCAGCAATATTTTACTTTATATTAAGCATGTATGTTAAGACATTTTATGTTGAACAATTTACAAAATGGTATAGCCCAAACCATTTTTTTACTCAAGAACTTTATCTTAGCGCTTATCAATCAATATCTCGGACTCTGAAGGTTCTTAAAATAAACAGTACATTAAAATTCAATCCAAAGCATAACACACCTACAAAAATAGAAATATTAAAAAAATATTGGAAATTAGTTTCAGAAATTTTTTTGGCTTTCAGCTGTTTTTTCCTACCTGGCCCATCCCAATCTTCATTCTCCACAGCAAGCTGCCCTGGCTTCTCTGACCGCGCATCACCATCAGATTCTGCTGCCTCCTGGATTCCTTCTTCATTGCCTGAAAAAACAATCAGAGAAACATAGTACTGACATATTTCAACAGTGACTTTTAGGCAGAGATCCCACAATATCCAAACATCTGCTTACATGCATAAGTCAAAACATATGCATGTCTATAAACAGAGAGAAAATGAAAAAAAGTATATTTGATATGTAAACACCTATGAGTTCCCAGTGATCCAAACAAGCCCTGAGTATCCAATCCTTTCAGTTCTGTGGAAAGACAAATCTTGGAAATCAGCGTTTACTCTGTATGCTTAAAAACCAGCCTCACGACTTGCACCTAATTCTGTAAACCAATACACAGAAAGTCAGAAAGTTTGTATGTACAAATGAGAGAAAGAAATCAGCTTGTTACTCCCCAGGAACAAATGCTTCCAGCCACGCGTTTTTCTGAATTTCCACCTAACTTATACATTGCATATTAATGACACAGTACAAAAATATGATGCACTAAACAATCTGGCTTTTCAGGCCACTACTGGAGAGTTACAATTTTGGTATTTCAGCATTTAAGGAATTTGCCCTTAAAGGTCATAATGTACCAGCAAGACCCTATGATCATTTTCTCCCTATCAAACTTTATCTGAAGAAATGCAAAATTTCTGATGAATTTCAGAATTTTCACCATCCAGAGTACCTGAACACATCTGTCTGCATTCAGTAACTATCCACTACAAGTCTGTATATAGGACACATGGAAAATTATGGTTAAAGTTGTAGAGATGACCATTCAATTTTTATTTGAAGAACTCCTTGTTGAAAGTGCAGTTATTTCAGTTAAACAAAGAGTGTTGGCAAGCTCCATGCAAAAAATAGTATGAAATAATCACCACAAAAAATTACATTGAAGGTGAGGGGCTCACGTATTAACACAAAATTATCTGGCCACAGTAATGTGCTAAATGACATCCCTGAGGCTTATCCAGACCAGTACTTTGCTGCATTTGTACTTTTTAATTCTACTCATATTCTAATCAATCCAAGAAATTCTTGCATAGAAAGACGCTATGAAGAATGGAAAAAAGAAAAATCTACGCTATTATCTACATCTGTCAAATAGGATGATTTTAATTTTTTTAGCAATCTTGAAGCAAACTGTTCCAAAAACTGTGGCAGCACTAAAAACCAGATTCTGCGTATTTTAGAATTTGAAAATTAGACTGTTTGCTGATTTGACAATAGGAGAGCAAGAAGAAGCAAAAAGCAGACCAATTAAGCACTAACTTGTATTTTTCCCCCCCTTGATAACAAAAGCTTTTATTAGCAACATAGGTAAAGAAATGAGATTAAAACAAACCATGCCAGATCCCCATACATTATCACTGGAGCTATATTTATACCAGATAAGATTGTGACCCAGAGTTTTCAAGTACATGATTATATACAAACACTATAAAATATTAACTTCATCTACACATGTATCGGCTTGTAATAACACATTCTTCCTTGCATTCATAAACAGTTTTTTTTTCTAAGTATAAGAGCCTGGTAAGTATTCCTCATACAAACACAACACTATACTCACTCCAGACTCCAGTAAGAAAAAAATAGTTCAGTGTATGAGTAGTACTAAAAATATAGCCCAGTGTACAGGCACTTAAAGCTAAAAGACAACACAAATATCTAGTATAGTTTTTTCTGTTAAAGACACTGTATAATTTTACCCAGGCATTTGAAGTTCACATGTTTCAGTTCAATCTGAAGTTACACTTTGGAAGACGGTTCTAAATCCTCACATGTTGAAAAAGCTATCTCTTAAGTTTCTTGTAAGTCATTTTAGCAGTTACTTGGTTGTAACCAACTACCCTATTTTAACCGAACAACCCCACTTTTTTTGGGTGGACTGAAGAACCTATTAGATACTTTTACCTTCACAGCAACTTACAGCTGCAACAAATTGCTCTTTATTGCAGAGACACAAAGGACAGCTTTCCAAGGTTCAAAGCTGGCAAGACTAACTCCAGTTTTCTCCAAAATGTTGGAAAGCATTTCACAGTAAGGGCAATTCTGAGTTTCTCACTCAAGCTGCATAGTCACCATAAAGCTCTTAAAATGTGCTTTGCATGGAATTTTTGTACAAAAGAAAGTGTCTTCCTTCCACTATAAACAATAGCTCAACAACAAACCCAGCAAAATTTAGAAGTAATAAGAATTCTAAATAGAGCACAGGCATGGAAAATTTATCTCCAAAATATAAAAGTCTTTCCAGGTTATAATACATACACGCCTGGTGTTAGCATGCAAATTTGAGCATTATTTCAATGAATGCAACCGACCAAAATATCAAGCAAATGAAACTACTAGAACTGAGAGAAGGAGAAACTTATGTGAAAAGATTGGGCTGAAGGGGAAAAGGACAGAATTACAGCTAAGGTATAAAACCTATAGCAAAACATAATTCATAACTTGGGAAATGAAGAAAGACCTGAAAATGTGTATCTGCAGATGGCTTAATTTTATACTAACTTGCTTTTTCAGTGTTTTATGAAGTATGGCATTACATGTTTTTCATAATCAACTTGTCATGAATTAATGCATGACCCATGCAAATAAAGTGCAACAAAATGTGTAGAATTTACATTAAGGAAAACTCTGGTTTGCATCTAGAAGTAATTCTAATTATTTTCATTGATATTTTCTATTTTCTATTATTCATCAACTATCAAGGTCCACGCATTACACACTGGCAATATTACATAATAATTTCTCCTGTTCCCCACACTACTCTCCCTCCCTACTAAAGCAACCTGACAGTGAAACCAGCAAACACTACACTACTGTGGACTTCAGAATCCATCAGTGAAGCTAGTCTACCCCAGGTTCAGCTGAGCATCAACGTCAAATGGAAATGGACAACTAAGTCAATCCATTTGGTGCTGAAGACACTGCAACTTCAAAAAGCCAGAGGAGGCTAAGGAGGCTTACCACAGGAGCTGATAACAAAACACATGCTTTTTTTCTTTTCTTTCCTCTTACTTAATACTACTTTAGCAGCTAACATTAGTTTAGCACAACTTTGCTGTGGTAAACAAATTTCCTTACAGAATTTATTTTCTTTCCATTGTTTAATCTTTTAGCTCATTCACTATTTTCCAGTCTCAATAAGACTATTTTTTTATTTATTTTTAAAACTGATTACATTTTTCTTCAATTTACAGGTGTAGACATTTAATAGGATCCAGGACATTATTTTCTTTCTTTCTTCCCAGTGAAATCAAGTGCTTTCTTTGCCTTATACACCACTCACTACTTCTCTAATCCCATTGTTTTTGTTTTTTCTCATGTTTGTTTCTTCACTTTGCTGCTCAATTACATTTTGCATTCAAATTAAATGAGAAATAACTTTTTACCATCAACACCAAAGAATGGTATAGAAGTACTGCCAATCATATACACTCTAAAATAAAGCAAAATCTGCTTCTGTTTAGGTTTTTCCTTCTGGCAACAAAAAATGGTAAGTGAATTCTTTCCTGTGAAAAAACATCACTGCATGAAAAAAAAAGACTCTTGTGAGCAAGAATCTGAAATATCATATAGTATACTTACTCATGAGTCAAGCCTACTGGACTTTCTGTTATTTCTCTATATTTGGTATTAAAGCTACGCTTTGGGCAGAATTCATCTCATCTAAGATTAGATGTCTGAACGTTAAGTTAGTCCAGACTTATGTATGTGCTCCTATAGATACGGAACAGAGAAACCTCCTCAATGACTCATCCTATTCGAGGATGGTGAAGATACGAGAGACCTCTTGGTGTCTGAGGTAGTTGAAATGAGTCATCCTCTGAGACACGCAACTTGGACTAGGAACCTATCTTTAGACAGCTAAAGTTAGGTGAAACAAATCTCTGCCTTACAATGAAGTGCTGAGTACACAAAATACTGCTTAACTAAGAGGAAAAAAAAAAAAAGTTATTCAAACAGCTTCAGTAAGATATGTCTTGACCTTACTATTTCTGACCAGTATTAACTGTTTCTGCTGCTCTTCAAAAACAGTTCAAAGTTTTTTTTTATGTTGTTTTTAATATCCTAGTGTTCATGCAATAGATGCAAGTGAGCACGCTAAAACTCTGCAATTCAGTGTGGCACAGTTCATCAGGGAATCTGAAGACTATAAAGAGACATATTACCAGAAATATGAGAGGAAGAACTCAAACATCTCTGACAACACTGACAAGGAGGAAAAGACTTGAATATTAAGAAGTAATTTCTCTTTAATCTTTTTAACAAATTAAAGACTTCCCAATTTGTACTTAATCAGCTTGTACCACAAGTAGTTGTGGTATTTTAAAGAAGCACATGGGTTAGCAGTTCTTCTCAACCCTGCTGTTTTAATCCATGTTGTTCCTATCAGTATTAGGCTCTTACAGAAAGTCTCATACAATGTAACTATTGAACTTTCTTACCAGGAACATTATAGCAGCTGTTAGTCACTCTATAATGTATTTTGCAATCAGCTAAATCAACAAAGTATTTTTAACAATGAACAGTTCAGGACTGACAGATCTACTTTCTTGTTCACAACTGCTTATCACAGCATAGATATCATATATGTTTGCCAGGTGCTCCTATAGTTAGGATACCTTCACAGAAGCCGCTCACGAAAGATAAGGTCATAAAAGAGATGAAAAATGTGCAAGCTTCATACACTCATGGTTTTATCATCAGACAAAATAGCTTTGGGTGAAGGACTGTACCAGTCACAAACAGCACATGGCAGCTTCTATTACAGTGAGAGAACATTAGAAGTTTGAAATTCAGTTTGTGTTCGTTCTTCCTGGCAGCATAAACGTAAACTTAAATTGTTAACATCCTAATACAGCTGTTCAGCATGAAACATCACTTCTCAATTATAATAAATCAATTCAGAAATAAATTGTTACAAAGCCTGTAGCAATTTGTACTGCCAAAAGAGAAAACGGGCATGATGCAGAGACGTGGGGAATCACACACTGTAGATTTTAGTTCAACAAGGCACATAACCTTATGTGCGTC